CGGATCGTAAGGGATACCCTGTGGAACGTACCTAGTCTTTTGTATTCGTGATTTCCAGCTTCGGACCACTGACTTAGTGCATTCCCAAACGTTTCGCCGGTATTGTATTCGGCATCGTCAGTGAGAGGCGCCATCGTATGCACAGGGTAACAATTTATCAAAGCGACTAAGTACGCTCTACAAGGTCTCCCTGACGCTCCGACCAAGTTATGAAATACTTATTTCTTATTGAAGTGGGTTGACCTCGTTGTCACAACTGGGTCCTGTTGTCACGGCGACTTAGCAGAACGCACCTAGTCCGAAGTCGTCTGCCATAATAGTTGTCATGATTCCCAGCATCAGACAGTGGACTTGGTACATTCTCAATCGTTTCGCCTGCATCGTAGTCGGCATCATCAGTCAGTTTTGCCATTCTTTAGAGACCATACCAGAGGCCACAACATCTTGGTCTTCATATCTTCAATTGTTTCTTATTATTTGGTTGAATAATCGGGCTAGAGGCTCTAAGGATTTGCTCCTTGTTTGTTGTTGATTAAAAGTCTCAGGGATTTTCCTTCTTCGGGTATCTTCAGCAAACCGTATGCTTCTGGTGCTCTTACATTCTTCATAGGAGTTAATTCATTGCCCATTTGCCGAAATCCCCGTTCATATTCAGGAGAAAGATTCACTATTTTTTCTTAATTTCTGTTCTTGACCGTTAGCTCTGTCATTCTTTAGGCATCTTCATTTTTGCCGGGTGTTTGGGCCTTGGTCTGCAAATGGATCCTTTATTTATTTACCTTCATCTGGTGCTTTTTTTCGATATCCTTTTCGACATTTTGTCTGTCATCTTCTCTGGTTTCAGAAAATCCTCCTGGGTGAGAATCTGACTCAAATCATGCCTGAATCTGGATTTAATATCCAAAAACTTAAATACCTTTCCCCTCTCTCTTTCATATGTCTCCTCTGATTTTTCCCAAAGCAGCTTGATATACTATAACATTGACCTTATCAGAATATTATTTTTGCATCAAATTGCAAAATTTAGAAGAATTGTCATAACGTTTACAGCAGTTAAGAAAGGTCAAATGACAAGATTGTTTTCTTTGATCTGCCGTAATCAATGCATTGACTGGTAATCTTACTACCGTAATTAGATCGTAGATATTTTTTATTGTTAGAAAGACTTTCATTTCGTTGAAAATATTTTAAGGCCGACTGCTGATTCCCGTTGTACTGCATGCTTTTGGGCTCCAAGTTAACGTTCAGTTTGATGCAATCCACGAGACATTCTTCCTAGTTTCAGGGTAAACGTGCTGATTTTTTGTTCGTCATATGATGCACATTATTAAAGCTGAAGCTCATTCTTGTTAAGAAGATAGTCTTCTTGATTTAGTGGCAACTTAATACTTTATTGAACTTACTTCCATGTTGAGTTAAACTGTTCGGTGAAGGAATTTGAAGGTCAAATTCATCAGAAGATGACCACCAAAGGATTCTATTTGACCAACTGTCGATTGACTTTCATGAAACATCCTTGTTGACGTTGTTTACAAGGAGATTTCCTTAGATTCAGATGAAAACCCGCCTAGCTTTCGTCTGTCGTATGACGGTCATTATCGGAGCAGGACACTATCCTTACAACCATATTCAAGCTAGCGAGTCAAGAAAACTCACCGGCTTATCCCTAAATGCTGTATATAACACCATATCTATGCTTCTAAGAGTTTTCTTAACTCGTTAGTTGGTAGGCATGATACTCTGCTCTTCACATTTACAACGTAAGACGTTTATAAGATTGAGTTGGACGAAATCTCAGACCGTTTTTACCCTAAACAAGTGAGGATGTCTCGTGGACTGCGTCAATATGAACGTCGTATTAAAGCCGAACGGCTGCAGTATAACGGGAATCAACTACCCTCTTCTGGTGAGATCTGCCTCCAAATCTCTTCTTTATATTCTTCTATACGAAATGAAAATCTATCCCCGTCGAAACCCACTTATTTTTCGTATGCAATGAATTTACTTAGCCTGAAAGCTCTCTTTAATTTAAACTATGGTCTCAACTATTCGTGGAAATGTCAGCACTACTTCGGCGAAAAAATGTGCAAACATCAATTTCAGTCCATCTCATGACCTTTTTATGAAATTGCCTTGAATTTTTAGGAGTAATTTTGGCTATTTTCTCATTTCGACAGTTTCATTAGTATCTTAGTTTAGGCTCGTTTTTTCTTACCCTGCTCCTTCCTCTACTTTCTTTTCTCTTTTCCCCTGTGTCTTAAATCATTTAATTTTTTATTGTTATCTTTTCCACCGATTCTATTAGCCCGATTCTCTATGCCATTCTCCATCCGGTGAATATTCCCAGTTTATCCCTGCCGGGCCTGGAGATGTGCCTTCTGTGTGCTTTAGACAACTGGGTCCTCCCGCTCCGGGCATCGGCACCGACACACAACCTCCTCTCCTTCCACCCCAGCTTTCTGTGGTAAGCATTTTCTTCTGGATTTTTTCTTTTTTTTCTAAATTTTCTCCTAAGACTAATTGTTGTTTATCTATGGAGTTTCATGCACGAGAAGTTCCGCATTTTTACTTTTTCGGCTCTCACTTCATGCTTTTAAGATCTGGTTAGATTTACAGCTTTAAACTATCTTATTGCTTCTAACTTAATATTAATCTTCATTGTGATTATTATATCTACAGATCCCTTGCCTGATTCAAATGTTGATAAATTTAAACTCTTATTAAATGCACCCATATATTGCGTCAAATTATCTCCAAATCACGCAATAGTGCATACTCGTCGCTTTCCGTTTTTATATGGCATGAAAAGTAGTTTTATCGGTCTAGTTTATTTTTATTCATTCGAGCTTTAAATTTAAAATTGATTCCACCTACACTTTTTGTTCCTCCTAAAATCATTCATCTGCTATATTATTTTACATTATATAAAACTTTCTCTAATCTCTCTTGCTTGTATATCTCATAATTGTGGCTTTATTAAACTTCTTGTTCCTTTACAAATCAATACTACGTTATCTTCCATTCCTACTGTTTTCCACTCGCCGACATTAGCTTTATCTTGCACATGCTCTTAATCATTGCTTTTCTATACTCATCAGCCTTTGATAGCACCAGCAACAAGTAGTTAAAGGCTCAAAATCTCTTCCTTAATTCGCTAATTGCATTTCCTAGTGAACAACTCAGATGAGATCTGTACCTGTCGATGGGGCTTTCTTGGCACAGATCATTATCAGGGAAATTTTAGTAAATAAAACAGGCTCCCTACACTAAGTAAATCTCTCTCATTTTTGCAAAAGTGATATTTTTTAGAATAGTGACAGCTTTCGCTTGAGATGCTTCTATTTATCTGCAAAACTTTAAACACAATAATTGTGGTAGCTTAATATTTAGAAGTTGTTTGACCTTATTTTCGCAACTCAGTCATATTGGTAGGAAGACTTAGATGAATGTACCTTGACCGGAATCAATTGTCTGCATGATCAGTTCCAAAGTCGAACCATGGACGTGGTACATTCCCATGCGTTTCGCCGGCATCGTCAGTGAGTCGCCATCCTTAGCACCATATTACAACTCGTCAAAGAAATAAGTGAAGCTCATCCTTTGACCAAACATGTGCTAAAAAGTTGTGGCATCTCCCCTTCTGCCCTGGCCTATTCACATGTCCTATATGCTCCTATCATGCCTTCCCTATCACAATTTTTTACCGTTCTTATTTTTAATTTAGTGTGGTGTGCTCTTTCGAGCGGCATTCATGAAAAACCTTTCACACTTCACACTGTCGTTATCACCCCCTTCACCCTTGTGCTGATAATGTCGACCAAAGTCTGCCATATTGTTACATAGTCCTTCCTTAAGTCGTATCAATGTCTCCCTCTTGCCCCATCAAATCCGTCTTCTATCTCCCTGGTACATGTATTTCACTCAACACCTGCGCCCCCCATCTGTGCTATTCGAGGCGTAATTCGTCCATCCCCTTCACCTAGA